ACCGACGTAATCGCCTTGAGTGGTGCAGACAACGGCCACTCTGGGATCAGGAATGGAACAGTATTGTCTTTAGTGACGAGTCTCGATTTTGTTTAGGCATGCACGATGGTCGTGCCATAGTTAGAAGGCGACGTGGTGAAAGGAGGAATCCACAGTTTTTTGTTGAAAGACATGTTCATCACACTGTCGGAGTTATGGTTTGGGGTGCTATAGCTTATGGTTCCAGGTCACCTTTAATCTTCATCAGAGGTAACATGAACGCTCAGCGTTATATCCACGAAATTCTAGAACCCCATTTTTTACCCTATCTTGACACCCTGGCAGATCCAACTTTCCAACAAGATAATGCCCGACCACATGTTGCAAGAGTCACAATAGACTTCTTTCAACATAATGATGTCACATTGTTATCATGGCCACCAAGATCTCCCGAGTTATCCCCAATTGAGCACGTGTGGGATATGATGGGTAGGAGATTGCTCAATTTGCAACGTCCTAGTCAGACTCTAGAAGCACTTCGAGAGGAGTTGGTGGTTGCCTGGAATGAGATACCACAGGAGGACATTGACCACCTGGTCAGAAGCATGCCTAGGCGCGTTGGAGAATGCGTAGCACATCAAGGTGCATCCACACATTATTAAAGGTCAAAGGGCTTTAAAGCAGTGCAATCATTTTGAAATTTTTATCATTTACTTATTATGCGTCATTAAGTACTTATACAAAATTTTATTAAAATAAAACCATTTAAACTGGGTGTTCGGATTTATATGTCACTTAGTATATATCAAAAATCGGAGACTAAAAATTCAAAAAACTAATTACAGTTTTAAGAACTACTACACTTTTAAATAGAACATGTAACTAACGAGTAGAAAATAAGTTTCAAGTACAGGGTGTTTAAGAACTGTGGTATCAAACATGTAGGGGTTATTCAGTATAACAGTAGAAAACATTTGAGTATAGGGACCCATATCCGGCGATTGTGTGTTATCTTTAAAAACGAGAACAGATATTGTTTTTTGTAGCTGCATTCCATATCGCCTTAGTCGTGCTATCGTATTTGTGAAGTTTGGAAGAATTTAACAAAAATTAATTATTACTAATGGAAACGACAAGCTGCAATGCACGAGCAGCAGCATGGTTGTATCAAGAACGTTATCCCGAACGACAGCATCCGGGATACAAAAAGCTTATTGCTATTCATCGGCGGCTCTCCGAGACAGGCATGTTCAAAACCAACATGCATGATACTGGTGTTGCTCGAACCGTAAGAACGGTCGAATTTGAGGAAGAGGTCCTTCACCGACTTGCCGACGAACTATCAAGCAGCACACGTCACATTGCTGAGGATATGAATACGAGTAACGCTTCCGTCTGGCGGGTGCTACACTAGCAACAACTTTATCCTTACCACTTCCAGAAAGTTCAAGGATTAACTGCAGCAGATTATCATCGTAGAGTTCAATTTTGCCAATGGCTTCTTCATCAAATCGCTGCACAATAAAAATTTGTACGCTATGTTTTATGGACCGATGAAGCCTCTTTCACAAGAGACGGTATTTTTAATAGTAGGAATAGCCACGTTTGGGACAGATTCCCATGCAATTTTTCCTAGAAAACATCAGCAACGCTGGTCTGTCAACGTATGGGCAAGCATTGTTGATGATTATTTGATTGGGCCATACCTTCTATCGGAACGGTTAACAGGACCTATTTACCGGCGTTTCTTGGAGGAAGTTCTTCCAGAACTTCTTGAAAATGTTCCATTGAACGTTCTGCAGCAAATGTGGTTTCAGCATGATGGAGCGCCGGCTTACTATGCTGTACAAGTACATGAGTATTTGGCTCAGCGGTTTGGGCACCCTTGGATTGCCAGAGGTGGAGCAGTGTCTTGGCCTCTTAGGTCACCCGATTTAAAGTCGTTAGATTTTTTCCTGTGGGGACATGATTTGATTTACGAAACTCCAGTAGAAACAGAGCAAGACTTAATTGGACGAATTACAGCAGCATTTGAAATCATTCAAAACGAGTATCAAATTTTTAGTCAAAACCGCCGAAATCATGTACGATGTTTAAATCGGAGTATCCAGGCTGGCGGAAGACATTTTGAACAATTGTTGTGACGATATCATGTAAAAAATCAAAAATCCTATTTAGGCAATTCATCCTCCATTTTAACGCGTCTTAGGGCCGTAGTGCCGTAGTAATACTTTTCCGGATACGGGACCCCATTACTCAAATGTTTTCTACTGTTACACTGAATAACCCCTAGAAGTTTGATCCCTTAGTTCTGAAACACCCTGTATAAGACAGTTGGTGCTACTGCAATAGAAAGTCCAATAAATAATCAAGTACGACTATTTAATTCGGAACAAGATCAATAGAAAAAATAAGTTCTTAACAAAAAATTAAATTATAGCTTGGGGTGCATGCATTTTTTTTTGAAATAATTTATTTAAACACAATAATACAAAATGTATAACCAGTTTTAACAATAATTCCCCAATCAGTGTTTGCAAACACTGGCCCCGAGAATAACAAGACAATAATCAATATCTATGAACTATAGGTAGGTACACTGCAATGTTGCTCATAATTTCAACAAATAAATTCATTAACATTTTTAAAATCTTTCAATTATCTAACAAAACTTCTACAGTTATTTGATTAACTATATTATCATAATAACTCCAATTTTGTAAATGGCAACTAAGCAAATTTAACATCCAGCACTTTTTACTTCAATTTGCAACTAAATCGAGTTTTTTTTAGCTGCTCAAACTATAAATTCATTGACTTACGCAGAACGCTCTTGTGCCACAACTTTGCATCATTTACGAGATCATTTCAAGAGCTTTGAGCTGAAGTTTTTATCGTACTTCCTCCTTTCCCAAATTGCTACTTTCTATTCACCATTAAACCCACAATGTCTTGATGTCCGTTACCACAGAATTGCCATTCCGTCCACTGTACTATATTGGAGTTGTTGTGGAGGTGCCATGTCGGTGAAAGGCGCTTTTCGCGAATCGGACAGGTACCATTGTCGCGCATGACGCAGTACCGCAGTGGTCGACCCGCGAGGACGAAGAAAGTGAAGATAGTACGACCGCCAAGGAAAGTTGCTGTAACGTGCAGTGCAACTCGGTGTAGCGTGGCCAGCGAACTTTCCGATCGGCGCAAAGATTGTTTTTCGATTTTCTTCTTTTATTTCGGTTTGCTGGAAAAATAAGGTAATTTTTTAAGCTCATTAATTTGTTTTTAGCACTAAGACTGACACTTATGGCCGTATCGTCAGGATTGTAGGTTGCCTTTATGGCCTCCTTGATTGTCATAGTCCTTCTACTCTGTCGTGTGACAGCAGAACCTAGTAAGTCGACTTACTAGGTTTTACATTTTTACGTCATTTTTGAAAAGCCCGTAAAAAGTTCTACTAGTTGAATTTTTTTCTCTCGCTCAGACGCACTCTAAATCGTATATCTTTGTCTCATGTTTCCTAGTAAGTCATCAGAACAGCATTTAAAAAATCAACAAATGATGGCATGTCTACATGCTACGTTTTGAAGATTTTTTTTGTAGGAAATTTGGCGGGAGACTCCGTCGTAAACGCACTTGCTAGTTTTTGCTAAATTTTCATGCCATGATTTCAAGCCGATTGAGTGTAGGCACGGATGAATGCTACAGCGTTTCCGCAGTCATGTTCCAACTGGCATAGAGTGTGGATCGGTGAGGACAGTCGCGAATTAGTTTAACGTTAGTACTGTAGTTAATATCCAGAATATGTCGAGAGGAAAATTCATAACGAGTTTATGCATTACAGAGAGGTGAGTGCAAGCATCATACATTACATATAAGCCAAATGAAATATTAACTCAGGAGTAACATTGCAGTTTGATGTTTTTTTTTTCAGTAAAATAAAAGATTATAATTACTTTAAACAAAAAGCTAATTCTTGCAATACGGTTTTCGTATTTGAAATATATATTCAAACCGCTGACCTCTATTTATTTTATCTTTCAGAAATGAACCTCTCGAAGAGCGTCAGCAACATGATGAAGAACCTATATCAGATTATGACGATTCTGATGCAGACCCAAATTATGAGCCGTCAGTATCCCCTAGAAGGAAAAAAATTAAATTTTCGGACTTTGATGACGTATCGCTTGCGCCCCTCAAAAACCTTTGAAAAAAGTCAACGAGAATGTGAATGCAAACTGCAGAGTTTCCCAAGAAAGGCCAGACAAGCAAGAAAAGCACCCCCTACTGCTATCATGCCATAATAATTGCAGGCACAAATGTAGCTCAAAAATCAATGATGAGAACTTTAGAGAATTGATAAGAACGAAATTCTGGAGACTCAGCTTTGGCGAGCGTAGACTTTTTTTGGATGCTCATATCAAACAATTTGAAATCAAAGTAAGGCGGCAAGAGGCTCAGCGCTCTTCCAGGAATGTTTCTCTGAAATATTTTCTACCCCTTCCAGTGGAAACTGAAGCTAAATTTGAAAAAATACAAGTGTGCAAAACAATGTTTTTGCATACTTTAGGACTTAAAACAGATGGTATGATAACTTGCCATATACATTCCAAAAAGCGAAGTGTAGAAGGAATTGCACAAACAGTGGATGAAAGGGGGTTAGTTATTAGAGGCATGCTAGAAGAACAAAAAATGAGAACAGAGGAAATTGTCATAAAGCATATAAACTCATTCAATCCGGTAGTATCTCACTATAATTTAAAGCACACCCCGAATAGACGATTCTTGCCACCTGACTTGACCATTAAATATATGTGGCAAGACTTCTGTAATCTACAGAAAATTTCATATGATCTATACAGAAGAATTTTTGAAAAACAGAATATTGGGTTTAAAAAGCCATCCCAAGACGAATGCGCTCAGTGTCTAAAACATAAAGTTCACATTTTATTCGCCAATGCGACGCAAGTAGTTGCAAGATTTGTTGTCAATTCGAAAACCACAAAAAGCAAGACAGCACTATGAAAATGACTCCAATCAAGAGGTATGCAAGATGAGAAGGTCTATGCTGTAGATATGCAGAAAATCTTACTCTTGCCCAAAATGTCAACCAAGGAATCTTTTTTTGTTTCAAGGTACTTCGTTTATAATTATATATAATTGTATTAAACTTTTATATACTTCTATATTTGTTGTTGCAGGTTGGTCGTATTCAATGAGACGTTTGCGTCACTTCATAAGGACGGAAATATTTGCGTGATGTGGCATGAGGCTATAAGAGGCAGGTCCGCGACGGATGTTGCATCGGCATACTACAACGTAATAAAAAATTCAGACAATGTTACCAGAAAATTTACATTCTGGGTAGACAACTGTTCTGCTCAGAACAAGAATTGGACACTATATTCTGCTTTTGCGACTTTTGTAAATTGTGAATGGGGTCCAGAAAAGATCACCCTAAAATATTTTGAACCAGGCCATTCATTTATGGCTGCGGATTCGGTTCATGGCCGAATCAGCACAGAAATGAAAAAACACCCAAACATTTATGATTTTGAACAGCTTCTGAAAATAATTGAGCAGTCCTCAAAAAAAACTAAATGTTTGCCTATAAATAATTTTGATTTTTTCCTCTTTGAAGATGGAAGCAAACAAAGAAAAAGCAATAATATACCTCTTCTTGAAAAAATTAAGCTCGCTCAGTTTCGCAAAGGATGCAGACACTTGTTTTATAAAGAATGCCATAATGAAACTGTCTTTCAGGAAGTCGAGTTTTTGAAAAAAAAAGTTGATCTCAAATTCCCTATACATCCTTTTGTCGAGCCACTGGGATTGAACTCAGAAAAAAGAGAAACAATTTTAAAAAAATTGGTACCATCCTTCAAAGATGAAAGAAAGAAACTATTTTGGCAGTTTTTGCCATCTAATGATAATTCCAAAGACTTATGTGTGGTATCAGAGGCTTAGCGCTTAAGTTCTTGTTCTTCTTGTATGTAGACTTGCTGTTTTATGTTCCACCGTTTTTCATTCAAATGTTTGTTTTCCAGTTAGTAAGTAGATATGTTACTTTTTGTGTTCGCCTTCGCACATAAATTATATCAAATAAAACCTTAGTAAGTACACTTACAATATCTTTTTTTTTTATTTTGTCTAGTCGAAATTTTGTAAAAATCAGTAAGTTGACTTACCATTTTCTGCTAAAGTATCTTAATTTAATATCGAAAAAGAAACCATGAAAAAAAAAACGTAAGTCACTTTTCTACCATAAACAAAACTATCACATGAATAAAATTGATGCTATCGAATTTAGCAAGTTACATAACACTTCAGACAATTTTTTTAATATTCATAAAACTTAAACTTTTCGAAAGCCGAATGTTTATTGAAAATATGTTATTTCTCAAACCTGATAAAAAGTGACTTACTAGGTTCTGCTGTCACACGACAGTACTGTTTCATGTCAACGTCAGCGATCTCCTGCTCTCCTTGTGAGGTTATGTTTCCTTTTTAAATTTTGAGAAATTCAGGCTGATAAAACATGTTATAATCAATAGCATGAACAATTTGATGCAAATAGATATTTTTAACAGTCAATCCTCAAAATCGAGCGCTGACACGAAATAGTAGAAATCTAGAAATACCCCTTCCTTTCTGAAGGAGAGGAAAAACTATGGAAATCAAGCAGGCCGTAAAGGCTTCCTAGAAGGGGCGGCCCTAAGACTATAAACCTCCATTATGAAAGTTTCACTGATTCAAATGAACATATAATAAGGTTTGGCAATATACTGTTTCGTTGAAAAGACCATTGCAGCAAAATAGAACCGCTACAAAATTCTTGTTACCGTTTTTATCTAGGTATACCTAAATATGATCATATAAGCCATGTGTACAAAGAGAATGGTAAAATGAACATGGAGAATCTCAGAACATACCAAAGTTTATGTTTGGTTCATAAAATTTTAGTGAATAAGAAACCAGAATATCTTTTGAATGAACTCAACAAATTTGAAAAGATCAATAACTTGGCAACCAGAAATCGACAATTATTAGTTATATGTAAGCACTTTAAATCTCTCTACAAAAAGAGCTTCTTATATACTGCTGCCAAGTTATACAATAATAATATTCCATATGAATTTTGGAATTATACTCTAAATAATGTTACCACTAAAAACATATAAATCTATAGTAATAGATCGTTGGTCACTTTATTATTCATTTTTGAGCCGTGCAAGAAGGTCAGCTTCGTATTAGAATATTTATTCACTCAATGTACAAAGATAACAAAAAATATGAGTAAATAAATATAAAATCAAAACAGGCCCAATAGAAGGCATCGCCTGTACATGGACCAATAAATTTAAGTTGAAACTGTAGAATGCAAATGACAAAAAGGACAAAAATTAGCTACAGTAGATTATGTATTTAGTTGATGTTCGTATTTATGAGTTTATGAATTTCAGTCCTAGATATAGAATGTAGCCACTTTTTTAAATTTCTTTTGAAACAATTTCCGAAACGTAAATCTTTTAAGTCTTTAGGTATAATTTCATAAAATTTAGGCGCTAAATAGAGATATGATCGCTGCATTATAGATTTATGCGGTTGAGGAACTACTGTGCCACGAATTTTGTACCTGGTATAATGATTATGTTTAATTTTTTGGTCGGTGTTTACAAATTTATGGTAGTGAGTGATACTGTGTAAGAAATAAAGCTGTCTTATATCATACATTCGAACATCTGCGTATAATTTTTCAGTGGGATAATGTTTCGGTTTTTTAAATATCATTTTTAGAATACTTTTTTGAAAAACATCTAAATTATAGATATGTGAGGAACATGCAGCTCCCCATGCTAATATACCATATGTGAGATGAGGCTCAATCAGTGCATGGTATAATGTTCGAAGATATTTTTCTGTCAATATATTCCCAAGGTATTTAATTTTGTAGGATACAAATCTAACTTTCTTTAAAATATAATTGACATGGATGTCCCATCGTAAGTGAGGATCCAAGACCACTCCAAGGTATTTTATGTTGGGCACTCTATTAATTTGCATTTTTTGATCATTAATATTGAAGGAGAAATTTGTGTAATTTGGCAGATGTCTAGCATAAGATCCAAATGGTAAAAAATGTGTTTTAGAGTAGTTAATGCTTAATTTTCTACTGTTAAACCACCGAATAATTTTGATAAAATCATTTTCAATTACATTTTTCAGATCAGACCAGTCAGTGCCTTCATATAATATTACAGTATCATCTGCAAAACTAGTTATTTTGTCAACACAATTAATTTGGAAAATATCATTTAAATATATATTGAATAACAGCGGTCCTAAGACAGTTCCTTGTGGGACGCCACACTTAATATACATTTCTTTACTAAATGATCCTGATATCTGCACAGATTGTGGGCGATTTGACAAATAACTTTCGATCAGTGAGTACGCGTTTCCTCTGAAACCAATTCTCTCCAATGCTTCTAATAATAATTTGTGATTAACTGTGTCGAAAGCTTTCTTTAAATCAACAAAAATGCAGATTGAAGGGATTCTGTTATCAATATTTTGATGTATTTGATTTACAATTTTAGTTATTGCGTCCGATGTAGCCTTCCCTTCTGTAAATCCATATTGATTTTCACTTAAAATTTTGAATTTTGTGAGGTATCGAATCATTCTAGTAGATAAAACTTTTTCAAAAACCTTTGCTACACTGGATATTATTGATATTGGTCTATAGTTGTTAACATCTGTTTTTGTTCCTGATTTATGTATCGGTATTATATTACCTTTTTTAAAATTGAGGGATATATGCCAGATTCAAAGCATTTGTTGATTAGGTAAGTGAGTGGTTCTGTTATGTCCTCGGCTATAATTTTCAAATGCTCGCTTTTAATACCATCGAACCCAGGACTTTTCCGATTTTTTAAGGACATAACAGTGGTGTATACTTCACATTGCTCGACTTTATCCAAAATAAATGAGTTCAAAGTTCTTTTTGGAGGCTGAGTATTTTGTACAATTGCTTGTATATTACTTGCTAAATTTTCGCCTATGTCCGTAAAGAATTGTACAAATTCATCGCATATCTGTTGAGTATTTTTTAATACTGTTCCCGATGTTGTATTTAACTCAGTGACACACTCTTTAACTTTTGTTTTCCCAGTAATCTCATCAATAGTTGTCCAAAGCCGCTTAGGATCATTTAAGTTATTATTCAATTTATTTAGGTAATGTTTTCGTTTGGTTTGCCTTACAAGCTCTATAAATTTATTTTTATATTGGTTGTAGCAGTCGGTATTCTCTGTAGTTGGCGTTAGTTTCATTACATTATATAGTCTTTCTTTTTCTATTGCCGATGTTATTAATCCTTTGGTAATCCAGGCATTTCTGCTTTTCTCTTTGTGACTAATTATTACTTTATTGGTACTAATATCTATTAGTTTTTTTATTTTCTCTATGAACAGTCCCGTTGCTTTGTCTATATTATTTATAGAGTATAATTGTTCCCAGGATTCTTGTTTGACATTTGATATTAGTTTTGAATTGTCGACAAAAAATTTGTAATTTTCCTGGTTGTTACTAACGGTAGGGATGTTAGAATGTTTTTCATTTGAAGATATCAGTAAAATAGTGGAGAAGTGGTCAGTAATATCGCTTTCTAGGATTATTGGTATACAAGTAATTTTGTTGGATAGGTCTTTCACAAAGCAGTAATCGATACATGTGCCACTGATGGACCTTGTAGGTAGGTTTATATAGGACAGAAATCCGTTACTTGATAGGATATTCAAGTATTCATTTGTGATGGGATCATCGTCCAAAATATTTATATTGACATCTCCCAAGAAAATATGTTGCTTTAAATGAACTTTATTTTGATTTTGAAAAAAAATTCGATATTCTCTAAAAAATCGTGGGGCTCTGAACATGGCGGACGATAAATTGCAGATACCTCAATTTTGTTATGGTTAATTTGGATCATTATGTTTAAAATTTTGATTCCATCGGTGAAAGTGAATGTATCATGATTATATTGCAGTTTATTTCTTACAAAAACTATCACCCCATCGTTTTGGTTATAAGATGTACGGTTGACTTAGAAAATACCGTCATGGTAACACTCCACCGATTCGATTCTCAAAGTTTAGTCACTTATGAATGCCTATTGTTGTATGTTATTATTATTATTATATGTGAGAAAAAAGTTGCCATCATTTGAAAATGTTCAGCTCTGTATCTATTACACATTTATGAAGAAAAGGTCTACCTTAAAATGCCCCGAAATAAAAATGTGATTGATAGTATAAAAAATAAATGGTCACTAGTTTGATCGCAATCTCTTCAAACATAATTTTTTATATTTGATTTGTAACTGGTTTGGATGCAGAATTTTCAAGTCATTAGGAATTTGATCATAAAGCCAATAAATGTTTTATGAGAAAGATCTATAAAAATGGGAGGTTTTGATGAGGAGGTGATACGTAGCTCCGAAACCGCAAATATAATTATAAACATCGGTTATCCTATTGAACAAATATGGTAGTTGCTTAAAAAACAGAAATTTAAAAAAAAAAAGATTACATGCAAGCAACTCACGTTGAAGTCGCATATTCAAGTTGAACAGGGAGAACTTACCGATGAGCATCTAGAACTTTCAGAAAAGCATGAGCTTTATTAATATGTCGCTAGAACCTTAGATTTGAGTCAAATTCCACTCTTAAATTTCTCATAGTGGCTGAACGAGGTATAGATTCACTTTTTATTCTGACAAAAGAATATGATGATATTGTATTTAGAATCAGGAAATTGAACTCAATACTATTCACACCTTAACGAAAAATAGTTTAGTTACTCTGGCTTTTCAATCGCTGATTGCATTTCAATTTTGGTAACTAAGATTTGAAAGTTAACTATCTGTCTGTGAATTCGTTTTTTAACTTATGCTTGAATTATCG